AAAAGAGGAAGAGAAGAAAGTAAAAGAAAATTACCATTCTATTATTAACACAAATTCAGTCCTCCGGGAACCTTGAGAACTCTCAGAGAGATGGAATATTGGTTATTCATTAAAGTCTGTTATCAAGAAGGAGAGAAAAAGCCACTGAAAAAGAGTGGCACAGAGCAACGCTTGCTTTCTTCTTGTTTCCATTTTGCCTTGTATATCTTTACCTACCCCTTTGCTTTTAGCTTTTCTAAATCACTTGGTGTGTCTCTTGTATATAGCATGTAGGTGAGTCCTGCTCTGTAATCCAAATTGAAAATCTTGGTTGAGTTAAATATAACAAAAAGATAAATCTTGAAAATCTACATATTTTAAAACTCCTAATTGCCTTGTGAATCATACGTTATAACTTAAGGGCAAGCATAACTGAAAATCATAATAGCAAACTGAAAATCTTAAATATGTATAGTCAATAATAATGAAAATACTCCATTATGAATGTAATAAATGGATAGCTTTAAATGTTTATATTAGAAAATAAGGCTAATAATTGGTGAGTTAAGCATCTATCCTATGGAATCAGGAAAAAAAAAAACCCAAAGCAATTAAAATACTACTTCCAGTAACACAGTAATGCTAGATTATTCACCCAATTCTCCCACTGAAAACTAAAAGTGATAGATAAAATTTTACTTCAAAAAATATTAAAAGCACTGAAGAGCTGACAAGATGATAAAGTAATAACCAGATCAAAATCTATGAGAAAGCAGAAACTCAAAGAGATAAATGGCATAATGAAACTGTTTTTGTCCTGTAGACATCTGCCTAACTCACAAAGTTGAGCTTCAGTGTTAATGATCTCTTGGGAGAGAAGTCAAAGTTCAAGATCTATCCAACATCGAAAATCTAATAGGAGACCCTTTTTCCATAAAGCTGGGACCCACCTGAAAGTTTCATTATGTGGAAAAGAGTAAACCAGAATTAAATCCAGGCTACCCATTCCCACATCTTATCTCCAAAGGACTACAAGGAAATTTGTCTTCCTACTACAGTAGAGAATAAGATTTCTAAGAGGTTGAAAAGACAAACAGGCCCACACACATATTTGCAACCCAAAATTATCCTTTTTGGGTGGCTCAACAGCTCAAATGATGAATTTTAGTCACCAAACTAGTACCTTGAGGCATCTGGGGAAAAACGAACAAAGGTAAATCACCTTGAAGCAATTTATTTCCTTCTTGGGCCTCATAGAAAACCCACAAATATTTCTTCTAGGAAAAATAAGTAGTTCATGGTCAAAATCTCATGCAGGGTAAATAAAAAGAAATCTATACCTAGAAACAACATATGAAACTTCAGAAAACCAAAAAATAAAGAGCTCAAAAGTAGCCAGAGGTTAAAAAAAATGGACTCACTCAAATGAACAAGTATTAGGCAGTGAATTTATCAACAGCAGCAATGGAAACCAGACAAGAATGGAATTATTTCTTCCAATGGCTAAAAAATAACTGCCAACCCATACTTTTATACCTAATGAAGTATCTATCAAGAATGAGAGCGACAGACTTTCAGACCAAAAAAAAAAAAAAGAAAAGTTTACTACAGAAAATCTCATTAAAAAGAATTTTAGAGAAAACAATCTTCAGTAAGAAAGTTATCCAAATGGAAAAATCTGATGTCCCTGGAGGACTCAAGAGCACATAAAGTTGGAATTGATATCAGAGGCTCATTGTCCGTTTTCTGTCACGTTGATTGAAGAGTAGAAAAGCCAGTTAACATCGAGCAAGAAAGAGTGAGACTCATAAAGTCAGAGGAAGAAGTTGAGTTCTAGTAGCACTACAGGCCCCTGGTTCCAGCTGTTCCTAAGGCCTATTGAAATCTTGTCCTTGGAAAATAGGAGATAACCCAGTGTCCTTATACTTTAGAGTCTGCTTTTCACTTAAAAAATGCAGAAAGGGAAAAAGCTGGAAATTAAGTGAAAAATATACAATAGAGGAAATCAAAGTCAAGCACTGATTTTTTGATAAGGCTAAAAAAACCCACAAGATCTCTAGTAAGACTGATGAAGGGAAAAAGACAGAAGGCACGAAAAATTGGGAATAAAAAAAGAGGGAAATTTAAAAGATAACAAAAGAATATTTTGAACTTCATGCCAAACACTTTAAAAACTCAGACAAAATGGGTGGATTCCTAAAAAAAGAAAAAAAAGAAAACTTTCTAAAAACTGACCTAACTAGAAACAGAAATCCTAAATAAAACCATGTAGAAAACTGAATACATACCTTCCCCAAAAAATGCTAAGCCCAGATGCGTCCCCCCAAAATACTAAGCTCAGACAGTTGAACAGAAGTTCAACCAAACTTAAAAGAAAGAGATCATTCCAGTCATATATAAATCCTTTCAGAAGGGGGAAAAAAAAAGATTAGTTCTCGACTCATTTTTTGAGGTTGGCGTAATCTGGATACCAAAATCAAATAAGGGCAATATAAAAAAATAAAAATTACAGGCCAATTTTACCTGTGTACATAGATGCGAAAATCCTAAGTGAAATTCTAGTAAACTAAATCCAAGCGTATAAGAAAAGACCATTATGATTAAGTTGAGTTCATTCCAAAAACGCAAGGGTAATTCAACATTAGAAAATCAATGAATGTCATTCACCGCATTGTCAGAAGGGAGGATAACTATATGATCATCTCATAATGCGAAAAAATCATCTGACAATATTCAATACTCATTCTTCACACACACACACAAAATCTTAGCTAACTAGTAAAAGAAATGTCTTTAACCTATGAGTATCCATCAAAAATCTATGGCAAACATTATTCTTAACGGTAAAACGTAAGGTGCACTTCCTTTTAAAAACTAGGTGCAACATAAGAATGTCCACTACTAACACTTGTATTGAATACTGTACTGGAAGTTCTAACTAGTAAGGCAAGAAAAAGAAATGATGTAAGCATTGGAAAGAAAGACAATTTGCATTCACAACACTTTAATAATTTAGTAAGGTGGATGAACACGAATCTACACACCAAAAAAGCTTTTATCGGCAAATAGAAAATGGAAATGAAAACAAAGAAAAATATACTATTTACAAGAGTAACAAGAAATAAAGTATCTAATAATTAAACTTAAGAGAAAAACAGATTTTTATGGAGAACAGTTTACTGAAAGATATTTTAAAATATCTAAATAACAAGATATAACATGTTTAAGGATAGAAAGGCTCAATATGATAAAGAGAATTAAATGCATGCATAAACTAAAAGCTACAGAGGCACTGGGCTCATATATTAAGATAAGTTCCATTTTTTTTTTTTTTTAGGTGAGGCAACCCTTGGCTGACCGCATAGATTGCAAGGACCTTCTTAGCTTACAATCCCTTATTTATTTATTTTTTTTATTTTTTACGCCTACAGCACCTGGTCTTCCTAGGTGATCTTCCATCCAAGTACTAACCAGGCCTGACCCTGCTTATCTTCCGAGATCAGACGGGATCGGGCTTGTTCAGGGTGGCATGGCCATAAATAAGTCCCAGTTTTTAATAACAGCTTTTGAGAGCCTGTCTGGAAGTTCTGGCAGGAGAGCACAGCGACTCATATACACTTAACCAAAAAATGGTCCTCAACTCTACCAAGGAAGGTCGTCCTCTTCGACCCAGTGTGCAGCTGTGGAAGGGGCGCACATGGAGAGGTGAGAGAGGAAAGGGACAACCGCCTACCCAGCTAAATCAGCCAAGTCAACTTTCGAGATCATTGGGGTGACAGATGTCACGGCCAGGTTGCCCTCATATCCTAATAACAGTTTTTGAATTTTTGTGTAACTTGACACAAATTACTCCTATTTACAGATATTTATGCAACTGGTACATATTTATTAGTCACTAATTACAGGTATTATACTTTTACCAAATTGTAGTAATAGTTGATATGGCACTTCAGAATTCTGGCAGCAGCAATGAACAAATATGAGTTAAGAATACATGACATCATACGGCTGAGTTCTAGTCGAATGTGCTGTGGGCCCACTGGTTCAAAGGTCAGACAAGTGTGCACATTCACCACAATGTAAGTTATGATAACCACTCCTGCAATGTAAGTTATGGTAACCAACATTTTATGTAACACATATGGTTTGGGTTCGTGGAATTATCTGTGAACACTGCCAAAACATCATCTCCTTAAAAGCCACTGAAAAATGTAAACGTTTATTCTGAATACAAATTGCATTTACAAGGGGAAAATAGACAAAACACATTCATAATACAATGCTCATACTGGGCTCAAAGAGTATCCCCAGTGGCCTATGTATGGTCCTTATACAAATAATACCCCTGTTAATGTAAGACCTATAAGCAGCTGCCCAGTTTGCTTTATAATAGATCTGAGCTCAATCAAATGTATGAATTTCTGGAGATCTAACTTCTTCAAAGTTAATTTTTGTTTATGTAAGCTTTGTGCTCTCTTATATTGCTCCTAAATTTGGCTTTATCCAAATTTCTTAATACAGAATTAGAAATAATGATCATGTTTTATCGGTTGCTAGAGCATACTAAGTTAAAATTTATTGAATGCTTATTGTGTGCCATGCACTGTTGAAAGTGCTTTGCACATATTAAATCATTTAATTTTCACAACAACCCTATCAGGTGGATAATATTACTATCACCATTTTACAGATAAGAAAACTGAGGTACAAAAAAGTTAAGTAACTTCCCCAATGTCACACGAGTAAGTGGAGAAACTAAACTGAGGGATTCATACTTAGGTAGTCTGTCTGTCTTCAGAGCCCCAGCCCCTCAATTACTATGTTATACTTCTTTTCACAATATTTTAAAAAATACATAAAATTATTATGGATGAAAAAATTCACCATTAAAGAAAATTATCAGTAAGTGTTAAAACAACAGTTAAGCAATATTAATATAAACACAACTTATCATATGTTGATACTTCACAGCTATTTCAAAATTTCATGGCCATGATTAAGAGTTTTGAAGTTGGACAGACCTGTCTCTGAATCTTGGTTGTGCCCTTTACAAGCTGTGTGACTTTGGACAAGTTTCGTAACTTCACCAAGCCTCAGTTTCCTCATCTGTAAAATGAGAATAATAAACATCTCACAAAATTGTTGTTAGTAACATAATTATTGCTACATTACACTGATATGGTACCTCCAAACAAAACACAGGTACAGAAAACAAAAAGAGGAGGTTCTCAATTTCCTCCAGAAAACAGGACTTTATTATAATGATATAACAAAGTTGACCACTCCAAGTCACCACAGCAACTATAAGACCCACACACTAAAATAGAATCACAATCTCCTCTAATTCATAACAAATAATTCCCCTAGATAAAAGTCAAGTGCCTAGAGGTAGATTACTGGATCTTTGAAATATGAAATACTGTATATACATAGAGAGACAAACAGATAAGACATTGTTGTTTGTTCACAACTACTCCCACAAATCCCATTCCACACATATCCTTTTTAAGTAGTATTCAAGGGGCCCCAAACAGGAAGAGCTGTGTCATAAAGGAGCAATTCCTGGCATTGGTAGAAAGCAATTTTTATAAGAGAAAAACAGAAAGAAACAGACACGTCTTCGCAGTAGGGTAGAACTATCGTTTCCACTGAAGAGGGATTATGCCTATCATACCTGTAGCATTTTACTAGTCAAAACAACTTAAACTGTCATTATTGCTGTCTTTAGAATCTCAAATTATTTAAAAATAACCACATTCCTATCAACACTTGCATTTACCAGTAATATATCTATATGTGCTAAGGGTAGGTGTTTCTTTGAAGGGGATGATTTTGGCAATCCAATATAAAAATCTTTCTTAAAAAGAAAAAATAGTAATAATATTCTACGAAAATCTTACAGGATAATTTTTTTAAATGGCTCATCAAGACTATTATCAAGGTGAGTTTTTATGAATGTCGCCAGTCTAATAATTGAATTACATTATTTATTAAAATGATATCACATAAAAATAATTATTAAAAAGACTGTGTTCATTGTATCTCAAAGATTTGATAAAGAATGAACTCTCACCTCCCCAAAAAAATCTCTTTTTAACAAATAATCGCAAAAATGGCCTTCAAATTTTCTTAGTAAATTTATAAGTGTCCTGTTCGTCTGGATCAAAGACCATTTAATTTCTACAAAACACTATTTCTGCAGAAAACTTATATATGAAATATTTAGGAAATTTTTTAAATATGCACTTTATAAATTTTTAAGAAAATAAATACAGGACATGAAGTGTTCTAGGTTACTAGGCAATAAACTCCAAACAAAAAAATTCAGGTCCTTCTGCTCTGTATCTTAACAATTTGGATTTTTATACTTGATCAGCATTTCCTCCACTACTTTACTTTCTTTAAATGATAAGAATAACTTTTTTCCTTTTTTAATGAACCTTATAAATAACTAATAAGGTCAAATTGGTTCAATCACAACTCAGATACATGAAGATTTTAATTTAGCAATTTTAAAGTAAATTTTTATCTTTATATAACATAAGAGAAAATTTGCAAATACCACCAATTATGCACATCTTGTTCCATTTACTTTGTCATTCTCTCTTTTTCATACATTTTTTTTCTGAATCATGTGATAATAAGTTTCAGACACTGTACCTTTTTAGTCCTCAGTATTTCTATGTATTTTCCTAGGAATATGAACATTCACTTAATCACAGTATAGTTAACCAAACCATTATTGTATCAATGTTAAAATTTCTATTATACAATTGCAGTCCATATTCAAATACAGTAACTGTCTTTAAAATGTCCTTTAAGGCTACCGATTTCCTTAGTCCAGAACCCAATTCAGGATAATGCATTGCATTTGCTGGTAATATCTCTTCAGAATCTTATCATCTGGAACAGTTCCTCAGTCTGTCTTTTAAGACTGATATCTTTAAAGAATATAGACCAGTTATTTTGTAGAATGTCCCTCAACGTAGGTTTGTCCGATGGTCTCACGTGTTTAAATTCAGACTATGCATTTTTTGTAGGAATGTCACAAACATTGGGTTTTCTCACTGTATCACATCAGAAGTCGCAAGAAGTTTGTGGATCCTATTATCAGTGCCTTACTTTGATCATTTGGTTAAGGAGTACCTGTCAAGTTCTCCACTGTGAAGTTACTGTTCTTCTCTTTGTAACAAGTAAAAATCTTGAGGCTGTGTAAACATCATATTCCTCATCAAACTCTCACCCAACAGTTTTGGTGTGAAAGTACAATTTTAATTGTTCCAAATTGGTCATTTTCTAACTTCAACAGTTCTACATTTGTATTTGCTATTTTAAGGAAGAACTTTCCCTTCTCCCTCATTTAGTTATTTATTCATTCATTTACTTATATTTGTATAGACCCACAGATTCTTATTCTCTCAATGGGTTTTAATCTACAACTATCATTATTTATTTGGCCACTGGATGCTTCTCTAAAGGTTCTTGTTCCTTTTGACATGTCCCCATCATTCTTTGATTACCTTCTTACTTTGTAAAATAATAATATGTTCCAGACTCCTCTTGTATTTTCCCTGATCTAATTCTTCCTGGGATCAGCCATTTCTTCAAGGAGTTCTGCTTTCCTTTTAGTGGAGAATCATTTAGAAACATATGGGAGTTAGGTGTGTTATTGTTATCAAAGATGTAATTGCTTCTAGGCCTTCTTAGCAAACAAAGCTGGAATATACATACATACACACGTAAGCATATGTGTACACCATACATATACATACAAATATGCATGTATGTCTATAGGGAATATGTGTATACGTGCACACATGCGTATTTTTCTACATTTACATAAATATTAAAAATCATGAGTTCATAACCTCTAATTCAAATCCATCATCATAGAGTTCATTCTAGCCTTCTTTTCCATATATAAAATTCCCTTCTCCAATAATGAAAACCCTGGCTCCCATTATACTCAATACACTTATTCATTTGTTCAATCCTAGACTAGATAGAAAATAGCTTCGAAATTGCCGATTCATACCACTACAAAAATCAGCCTACAGACTAGGGTTCATTATTTGTTTATAGTTATTTTTATCTTGAGTTTGAAAGTATTCTATACTCAAAATTAAAGTGATTCTCAAAACAACCTTTACCATAATGTGTTTTAAATCTTATCTTGCTAGATTTAATCAACCTCAGTACCTAATTTAAAGCCTTGCATGCAAAAGGTATCTAATATATTCATAGTGAATATATAACTAGACAAAAAAAAAAAGTAACTCTGTCTTGAGACAGGAGGTGAATTACAGTCAGACCAATGATCAGAACATGACTGGAAGAAAGAGTGAAAAAAGAATAAGAAAATTCTTAGTAACGCTTACAAAACTTGGCAGAATTAATACATGCCTATCAGGCCATCCAAATTGGCCTTCTTGGATGCCTTAAACCTGCCATCTTTCTTTTTACCTCAAGGTTTCTAATCCACAGTTCTAATAACCTCTTAATCCACCCTAAATTAATTCTATTCATCTGTCAGAGCTCTACTCAAATCACTTCCTCAAAGTAGTAGCTGTCTTTGACCACCTCCTCTCACCTAAATTAAATCTCTATCATAAGCTCATACTACCCTGTAATTCTCCTTTACTTGTTTATCACAACATAAATAAATGTGTACTTATTTCCTCTCTTCCATAGAAGAATATAAACTTCATGAGAGCAGGATCCTCATATGTCAAGTTCACTGTAATTATTAATATATGCTTAAAATTATTTATAATATTGTTTATTATAAGTCATTAATATTGTTTAATAAATGATTCAATAAATAGAGACATCCATTACAAATGACAAGAATAGATTATATCAGACCAATTCAAGAACTATAAGAACTAGATTTAAAAACAAACAAAACAAACAATGACACACACACAGAAGGCAGTCAGGATGTGAGAAGCAAAAATACCACAAAAAAAAGAAATAAAGAGTTAAGCCTGACATTCTCCACCACTCTCGCCTCCTGAGGCAACTAGCTGCAGATTAGAGCTTTGGCAGTCTCACAGGGCTGCACAGACAGAATGGAGTTCAGAGCTTATCAAGACAGGCAGGATTTGAGGGGCTAAGGTTCCAGAGAAAAGGCAACCACAGAAAAGTGAGTCTGGACATCCTGTTCTGCTTTTGCCTTCAGGATATTTACTGAATCCTAACCTGTATGGGGACAAGAGACCAAAAATCAAGCAAAGTGTCTATTTTAAAGCAAAAAAGGTAAGCAGAACTTTTGGTAGCCTCACTGTGTAAGCAAAAGAAAAATTCAAGGCCTGCCGAGAAAGAGAGGCCCTGGCAAACACCCCAGGATTTCATATGATACCACTGAAAGACAACACTCTTGGAGTAAGGAAACTGGCTTTAAATCAGCCCTTAAGTAGCCTAAAACAAAGACTCGAGTCATTTCAAGAATGTATTGGATGAAGGTCATCTGCTCCTACTTTTATCTACTACCAGAAAAAAAATTAAATCCTTTCTAGAAAACAATATCATCATCAAGAGCCTCTAGTCTGATACTGATTTTTTAAACGACCAGGAATGCTATGAGACAGAACCAAATGAATGAAAGCCAAGAGAAAAAGCAGATGACAGAAAAAGACAAAAAGGGGATCTAGATATTGTAATTATCAGACAGAGATTTTAAAATAACTGTGATTAATATTTTCAAGAAAATAGATGACAAGGTGAAAATTTCACCAGAAACTGGAATCTATAAAAACAAATGAATAATAATTAAAGTGAAATTCTAGAATACATATGAAATTAATAATAAAATAGATGCTTGTTAAAGTAGACTGAACACTAAATGAACTAGAAAACAGGTCAAAAGATATCACCCAGGAGAAGAACAGAAAAAAGAAAAATACAGAAAAGCGCATAAAACAAGGGATACAGGGAAAGATCTAATGTACAGATATCTAGAACCCCAGAAGTGAGTGAGTGAAAGGTGGAGCAGAAGCAATATCAGAAGAAATATTCCAAACCTGACAAAAGACATCAAGCAACAGATTCAAGAAGGTCTATGGAACTCAAGCATCTTAAATACGAAGAAAACCACCTAGAGGTAT